TCTTCTTCTTCCTCCTCTTCCTCCTCTCAATTTATTTCTCCGTCTCTGGAAACATAAATCTCCTCTTCCTCCTTCTCTCGCTCCTCTCAGTTTAAACTGATTTTCTCTCCTCCTCCTCCTCTTCGTGTTCCAGCTCTTCGGTCTGGACTCGGTCCACCCCTCGGAGCCTCGGAGGCCTCGACCCCCCAGAAGACCGGAGCGCTCTTACTGTGAAAACCCTGTCTCACTTCCTGCCTGTCTGTCTGTCTGAGTGAGGAAGAGGAGGATGATGAGTGTTTCTCCTCACTTCACGTGAAACGACGTTAAAACAAAATAAAATGACGACATAAAAGAATAAAATCAGTACAATTAAAATAAAAACATTTTAATTTGTCTCCATGGTAACGTTTGATATAAACTGCTGCAGTATTATAAATAAAATAATATATCAGAATATTATGGGAATATTTTGGCTGAATGTTGGAGTGAACTTTATTGTGTTGAGTCTGGCGCCCCCTGTGGACCACAGTAGAAGTGTTTATGCTTCGTTTCATTGATTTCAAGGGGAATCGACCGTCTGGCAGTCATTAATAAAAAATAAAAAATATCCGATCTGCTCTCTGATGGTTGTTACATCCAAACTGCGAAGGCTTCTTAAATCAGACCAAACTGCGATTATATACTGTATACTTTCTGTGTCCTTTCCTGCACGTCGTTAAACGTGTAAATAGCAGAATGAGCTGAGAGAGAGAGAGACTGTAAATATCAGAGGACACACAGAAACAGACGAGCTGAAAACATCGTTTGACCTTTGACCTGGAGATCTTTCAACAACCTCGTCATCTCGTCTTCAAACAATCAATCAATCAATCAATCCCTCCAAGATGTCGCTACCTTTTGTTGGCGTCGTTATGGCCTAAAATTTCTGATTTTATAAAAGCTTGAAGTTTTTACACATTTTTTTGCAGCGAAATTGAGGGAAAAAGTGAAAATTGCAAAAATGACTGCGATTTTCTTTGTTTAATTAATTAAAAATGGAGTTCCAGAGAGAATAAAGTGTCTCTGTTCAGAGGGTCGATGAGCTCGCACACAGTCACTCTGCTTTTATTGGAGATACGAGGACGGGATCCCTCACCAGCTTCCCACCAGCACTCCATCCTGAGACTGGAACCAGTTCAGACCTTCAGAGAGAGAGAGAGAGAGTAATACTGTCTCTCTCTCTCTCTCTCTCTCTCTCTCTCTCTCTCTGTGGTTGGTTGGTTCGAGCGCCCGCCTCCTCCCCCTCCTCCATCTCACTCCCTCTCTCTCTCTCTCTCTCTTTCTTCCTCTCTCTCCTCACACACACACACACACTTTAACCTCTCCTATCCATATACGGTCAGGCCCCGCCCCCACCACGGCTGTGATGTCGTCAGCGGCTCGGAGGAAGACCCGTGGGGTTTTTGGGTTTTGGCGTCCAGTCCTGTGGGGCCGCAGGGCTGAGAGTTTCTCCTCCGCTCCTCATCCCTCCATCATCGGCCCGCCTCTCCTCCTCTCTGCTCCTCTCTTTGGGGAAAAGAAAAAAGACACTTTGCTCGCACTCGATTCGCCGTCCGGACTCGGCTCTGTTCTTCCCCTCGTTTTCTCGTCCTCTGAGGATTTTATTTCTCTTTTCCCTTTTTTTCCTCCTCCTCCTTCCTTTCTTCCAACATGACGGCCGACACTGAGAATTTTTAAAAAATAAACTCTCAGAAAGGAAATCCTGTCCGTGCTGCTTCCAGTAAAAAGTTGAATTAAATCTAAAAACCAGACAAAAAGTTGAGCCGTTGAATAAAACTCCTGCCTCACTTCCCGATTCTTCTTCTTCTCCTTCTTTTCTCCGTGCTCCTTCCTCCTCGCCGGCTGCTTTCGGACTTTGAGGCGTTTCGGTGAAAAAACCGTCGACCGACCAGAAGATCTCCGTCTGTTCTTTAGAGCTGCTTTTTTTCAGTTGGACTTTTCTCCCTCTTGTTTTTTTCTCGTGTCACTCTCGCACAGAGGCGGAAGCGGTTGGAGCGTCGGGGCCCCGGAGATGTTCGGGATCCAGGACAACCTGCCCCGCGGGGCCACAGCCAGCATGAAGGAGGAGCCGCTGGCTGTTCGCTCCTGGATGCACTCGGCCGGCGTGGTGGACGCCAACACGGCCGCTCAGAGGTAAACTCACCGCCGCCCACTGCCGCCCCCCAGAGGGATTCTGGGAGCTGTAGTCCCAGCGGACAAACAGCCGCTCAGCAGGAGCATTTAGATCAGGAGGGGAGCGCTTTAATCGTACTAGATTTCTGATCTGTTCTCTCATTTCTGCTGTTTGTTCTTGAGGCAAATATCCAGAAACAAAATTCCTGCAATCATTTCAAATATTTGTGATTTTTTAGGAGGAAAATTCTAAGAAATTAAAATAAAAAAATGCTTTTAATATTGTTTTTTAGATGATGAAAATGCTTCAGGACATTTATTAGAAGATTTATTAGGAAAATGTTGAAGTTAAAGCTCTTCAGGAAACAACAGAGTTTTACATTTTTAATGTAAAATGATCAGTATTAACAGTTTGAATCAAATAATTCTTTTCATTAGATATTTGTTCCTGATGTTTCTGGTTGAAGTTGCTCGGGACAAAGTAAGGTTAACGGGACATTTATCAAAAGGAAAAGAGCAGTGGAAGCTTCAGGCTGAAAAAAATCAATTATTAAAAAGCAGAAACATCTCTCTAATGATATTCTTCCTGTTATTATTATATTTCTGATCTTTCTGGAGGTTAAAAATAAAAGTCAGTTCCTGAAGTAAAAGGATAAAGGTTTGAATCTGCAGCTCAGAGGAAGAAAACTGCTCGTTTGCAGGTTTCAGTTCTTAAATTGTGCAGCTGAAACAGACTGAGAGCTTCAGATTTATTGATAATTTAGAAAAGTGTTGAAGTGAAGGTCAGAGCTGCAGAGTCTGACAGGAGGATTCATTTCAGGTTAAAGAGGCTCAAACTGCAGCTCCGAGGAAAATAAATGTTATTAATAATAATGTTTAATCTGCCCTCCGAACAGACGCGCTCCTGCTGAGTTCAGTCTGAGCGTGTGCAGATTGTTAACACTCAGAGCTGCACATGAAACATGATTATTCACACCATTAACATCTGTGAAATCCTTAATATTACTAATATTTTCAACATTATAATTCCAATAAAGCAGCAGCGTGTACTGACCTGAGTGAGTGAGTGCAGAGACGGCGGCTCCGAACTGCAGATCCAGCGTCAGCGTCATTTCTGACATTCAAACATTTTCCGCAGTTTTCTTAAAGTCCAAATCTGTTAAATTTAATGACAAACAGAAAGTGTCAGAGTCAGCCCGAGCTGCAAAGAAAAAACTATATTTATATTATTCACATTATTTTTACAATTTTACAATAAAAAGCTGGTTTATGACATAATTACAAACAGCTGAATGTGCTGAAACATCAGTGAGTCATCAGAGCTGCAGATTAAAGGTGACATTTTTAACACGTATGTTAAATTATTATTAATCTTTAGATGAACATGTCAGTAAAGCAGCAGTAAAAAATACGAGCTCATGCTTAAATAGCTGAAGTGACTCAGTGAATCAGCTTATAGGATGGAAATTCAATTATATTTTTGTCATTTTAAACATATGTAAAAATGATATTGTTACAAGTTTAATATAAATATTCTGAAGGAAAAGATAAAGAGTCTGTGATGGTCTCATGAATAATTCTCTGTGTTGAGGCAGCAGCTCTGTGTGAACCTATATCGACGCTGCAGATCAAACTTGTATGTAAAATTATACGCGTGTAAAATTGTCATTATTAACAATTAGAAAATGAACATAAAGTGTAAGTGTAAATTACAGTTAATGACACGGTTGTCAGAATAAATGTGCTGAAACACATTCTCAGTGAATCTTAATGTATTCATTCATATAAGGATGCAGGTAATTTAAGATTTATTTCATGTTTATGATGTATGTAAAAATGATAAAATGAGTTTATGATGAACAGAGTGTGAAGCACAGTCCACAGTTTGTGTCATTAGAAATCCTCTGTTGGGACATCAGGAAACATCCGAGGTGCAGAAACCAGATTTTTAAATTTTTTACTATAAAAATTGTAAAATTGTCATTATTAACAGTTTTAATAGAAATGTACAATGAAACATCAGCGTAAAATAAAACACAGTTCAGACTTCATACAAATTGCTGAATGTGGTGAAACAGCAGGTCTCTGTCTCAGGACACTTTATCTGCTAAGAGTCGGACAAAAGTAAAATTTTTCCTTTTTTGACGTATGTAAAATTCTCATTATTAACAATTTCAATAGAAATATTCCAATAAAGCAACAGTGTAAAATAAAAGAGTGCAGACTTAATGACGTTTGTAAGAAAGACCTGAATGTGCTCAAACATTAAGTCTTAGTGAATCTTAATGTCTGTTCATATGAGGACGCAGATAAATTTCAATTTCTGACGTATGTAAAAATGATAAAATGAGTTTATGATGAACAGAGTGTTAGAGTGAAGCACAGTCCACAGTTTGTGTCGTTAGAAATCCTCTGTTGGGCCATCAGGAAACATCAGCTGCAGAAACCAGATTTTTACATTGTTAACTCAATTTTTAAAAACATTGTATGTAAAAATGTTTGACAATTTCAATAGAAAGGTCAGCGAAGCAGCAGTGTAAAATAAAATACAGTCCTTGCTTTATGACATGGTCGTTGCGAGGCTCTGTGTGTGGTTCAGGACAGAATATCTGCTACGATTCAGATAAGTTTCATTTTGACATTTCTGACGTATGTAAAATGAACACTTAAGTTTGGAAGTAGCAGCAGAATAAAATCAGATCATCATGAAGTCTGTCGGGTGGAAGCTGGAGCTGTGCAGACAGAATCATTTCCAGCTTTATTAAAATGAATAAATATTAATTAACAATAAGCTGTTGTTGTTAAATTATCATTTTCATGATTTAATAAATGCGATATTGGGCCTCTAGCTTCACTCTGACTTTCTCTTTTTGTCTCTTAGTGTCAAAATTCAACCAAATATAAAAATACAAATATGACAAATGTTATAAGTCGTATTTTAATGAGTGAATATGTTTGCAGTCAGGGTCAAAGCTGCAGTTTGACTTCTTCAATATGAATATTTATAGAGCTCCACATGCACACGTGATTCAGTGTTTGCTGTGAATTTAAAGCGTTTTGTATTATTTGAATATTCCCCGACGTTTGAAACATGTTGTTGTTAACATGATTCATTCATGTGGAGGTTAAAGCCCGGAGCTTCATGTCACTTCTCGCTGAAGATTCTCACAGTTTTATGAATATTTTGCTCTCAGATCCTGAGTTCACTGAATTATTACCTCCAATTAACATTTGTGTTGTGATGGAAAGGTGTTTTACACGTTGGATGGTTTAATGGAGGAACTCACACTTGATTTATTTCTGATCATATATGAAGATATTTTTCATCCTGGCTCATTTCTGTTTTATGGTTTTCAGTTCAAGTATCAGTTATTGGAGGAAACACGTTATTATTATTTGATGTTTTTTTTTATCATTTAAACATGTCAGAGACGCTGATTAATTGATGACATGTATGATGTGATGACAGTCAGCTGAACCTGCGTCGCAGTCGATGAGCATTTCCTTTGAGGAGCGTTTGATTTAAACCCCAGTTTGACACAGATTTGGGTCACATGAAGGGTTTTTAATGTATTAATGTGGAGTTAATGAATTGATTTTAAAATTGGACTCTTATTGTCTTGTTGAGGAGATGTTTCCTGATTCTGTAAAATCAGAAACAAGCATCACCTCTGTATAAAACCTTTCTGGCTCTAAAATGAGGTAAAACTGAATGTTTTCAGATGTTTTACACTGTGAGAAGATAAAAAATGACTTTTAAAAGAGGCAGATTTGATGGGCGGGGCCACAGATCTGCCATCAAATTCAATTTTTTCAGCTGTGACTGGTTCATTTTGTCTCAGTTCATATACAGTGAATTCATAGAGCTAATTTCTTTGACTTTATGTGCACAATTTTATTTAAAATTTAAAAGGCAAAATGTTGGTTTGGTATGTTTTCTGTAAAATGCAATTTAAATGTAATCATCAGTTCTCAGGTTGTTAGACCCCAAAATAAATATACAGAAAAATGATGTCTGTGTTCAGTGGGAACTGTTGGTGAGTTTAAGTCGTCTCATACGTCTGTCTGTGTCTGTCTCTCAGCGGGGTGGGGTTAGCCCGTGCTCACTTCGAGAAGCAGCCTCCATCCAATCTGAGGAAGTCCAACTTCTTCCACTTCGTGCTGGCGCTGTACGACCGGCAGGGTCAGCCGGTGGAAATCGAACGCACCACCTATGTCGACTTTGTGGAGAAAGAGAAGGTGAGGAGCGAGAGGGAGGAGGGAGGAGCTGGGACACAAAACAAACACATCTCATGGTCACCGCCAAAGCATTCACCAAATCTTCAGAAAACCACAAAAAAAACATAAATTCCGTCATAAAGTTTTCAGGTGAATGAAACACAAAAAAGAGACTGCAAACACACCCATGTTACAGCTTGCTTAGCTCTGCCCGTGCAAATAATTTCCAATATAGTAAAGTTTATTTATTCTTTTTTTTTTTTATATAATAGCGACGTTTGCACTCACTCATGTTTACTTTCAGCTTCAAAACTATTTGAATCACATCTCAACCCGGGTGTTTGAGTCCAAACCCACCCAGAGCTCACAGAGCGAATCAGGTGTCAGAAACCAAACGCACCCATCAGTTTCAGTGTGTTTGATTTTGTGTTCAGGAGCCGACGGGAGAGAAAACCAACAACGGGATTCATTACAAACTGCAGCTGCTCTACAGCAACGGTGGGTGCGCTTGTTTTACTGCACAGCATCTCCAATAAAAGGAACTAATTTACAGGAAAAAAATCATTAATTATTAATGTAAAAAACTTCACTGTAAACTTTAAATAATAATATTAACATGTTTGTGTATGTGCTCAGGAGTCAGAACGGAGCAGGATCTCTACGTCCGGTTGATCGACTCCATGACCAAACAGGTAAGATATTGATTATGGATTATCGGGTTAGATAATGAGGATGATTAGTTCAGACTGCAGCAGATTAAAATCTCAAGTAAAAGTAAAAAGTCGATCGATCAGCAGATCAAATAACAGGAGAAAATCCAGTTATATTTCAAAATAAGAGCGTGCCTTTCCTCCTGCAGTCCGAGCTGTCAGATTAAAGTTCAGGCCGACTTCTCTTTGACACCTCAAACGTTTTCTGACAGTTTGTTGTTTTTCTGGTCAGACAGACTTCTCCTCCTCCTCCTCCTCCTCCTCTGTCTCCTCGTTCACACTGAAATATTTCTGATATATTTCCTGGATATCTCTCTGTGCTCTCTAATGTTCTTATGAATCCAGACTGATCGGATCAGTCGGCAGAGTCATTCATCAACCTGAGCGGAGGCAGCAGCAGCAGCTCTGTGGCCCACAAGCACAACTCTACATACATGTGCAAACAAACATATGAACCAGTTAATATAAATGTCTCGAACTATCCGTCATAAAATATACAATAAAAATGACAAAATGGCTCATAAAGACGGAAAAATATGAAAAATGTATCTGTTCCTATAGAAAGACAAAATAAATTAATAAAGAATATATATGTAACGTCCGGTTAGACTTTAAAAATAAAGCTTGGTTTACCTGATGTAACTTAGGAACGTTACCTAAAAGCAATGGTTGACTGTTGGTTTCACACAGGACACCAGCACCTCCAGACTTTCTCGCTCTTCATTCGACACCGCCTGCCTTAATAACTACACATTACAACATTCCCAGGTTGTCAAAGACAGACGCAATTTTGTCCCGCCGCCCTCGGCGTCTCATTCAGACAGGGGTGTTAACTCGGGTGTCTCAGCTTTCCATAATTCGCAATTTATACAATTCCAACACTGTTGATGGACCCCAGTGTGCCGGAATATTCAAATACACTAGGAGATAATAATAAAACATTGATACCTCTTGCAAATAACTGCATGGTTTTTGTACAAAAAACACACAGGATTAGCATAAAGTGCCTGTAAAGGGGAGACTTGTGGGTCATTCAGATATCTTCAGGTCAGAGGTCAGTGGATCCTTTTGAAAGTGGCCATGCCAGTTTTTCCATCACCAAACGTTAGCCAAACTTTGGAGCGTTATTTAGCCTCCTTCGCAACATGCTTGCATGACATGGTTGGTACAGACGGATGCACAGCTTTAAAAAAAGGTGTCCCTTCAGCCTTGAGATGCCTTTTAAACACCACGTTGTGAAACGTTTGGTCCGGTTAGGAAAACAGGATTTGGGAGATCCAGGTCATGTTGCCATTACTGCGGAAACAACACGTACATAACGTTACGAAACTTTTAATTTCATAAATAATTTAAAACTGTTCAAATCTTAATTCCCGAAAAACCTGACAACCATTTACAGGCAATTACTGTAAATATTGGTTGGTTGAATTGATGGTATTTTCATTCATTCAGCAGTCCAGCTCTCTACGCTGTACCTGGTCCAATCAGAGCTTTCTGTGACTTTACAGGGAACTACAGGGCGGCACTCAGCGGTGGATCTAGACACAGATACTGACAGACATATCTGCTGATTTTATCTTAAACAATAATTTAAATCAATATTTACTTGGACAAGCTGCCAAATGAGATATTTGAACTCAAAACATCATTGTGGCTCATTAGTGAAGCACTGAATAGAAAACTCTAAAGGTAGGATTAGGAATCAATACATTGTTTTGTCTCTTTTCATTGAATTCAAGCTGATCACTGGGTCTAAAATTGGGTCATTGTGGAATCAAGAAAGCTCAATGTCATTGGTGTGAATGTTCAGACTAATATTTCTTCAGTTCTGTGTCTCTGTCGCTGCGGTTATGTATTAATCCTATAAAAAACCTGAATATTGATTCAAAATTAAATAAAATCAGCCCACTCCATATAGCTGATTATTAATGCTAATTATGCTAATTGTCCAATTATATATGCAAGTTAGCATCTGTCAGTGTGTAAATACTGGAGATGCAGACTGTACATTTCTAACATTAAACTTTGTACTCAATATTTCTGGTTGATAATGAGGAAATATTAGTTGTAAACAGATGACTGAATTAATTTCTCTTCTGTTTAACAGGTTATTTTTAGAATCGGAGGGACATTTCCACTGTAGATCCTCTGCTGGGCTCTGTAAAGTGTTACTGTAATTGATGATAAGAACAGGAGATAATGAGCCTGTTTTATCCTCTGCTGTTTGTTTGTGAGCAGTCAGACTGTATCAGTGTGAATAAATCTGTACACATCCTGCTGCTGTACGACACCACTTCTTCTCTCTCTCCTGGGTGTGAGACACCGCGTATGATAAATCAGAGAGAGTCTGATCACAGAGCGACTGAGGCTGGAACCATCTGTTAACCGTCTCTTCTTACAGTTAGACAGACGGATGTTAATGCTGCTTTCTGTTCGCTGAAAGTCGACCGCGTCTACAGCATCTGGTCTGATCTTGTCTAAAGTCACATTGTTCTGAATGCACCAACAATTAGAGGACGCACCGAGAAGTCTGCATCAAGAATGAAAGTACATCACTGCCAATTAAAATGTGCCCGAAAAACTGACACTGATATTTTGCTTATTGTTAGCTAGATAGCAATTTGTCCGCGGTAGCAAGCTAACGTTAGCAATCAGACAATATGTTCCACAAGCTTAGCATTAATGTTAGCTTTGACTTTGGACTCTGTGTTGTGGACTCTGTGTTGTGGACTCTGTTGTTGGACTCTGCTTGTTGTGACTCCTGTGTTGTGACCTCTGTGTTGTGGGAGTCTGCTCAGTTGTGGACTCTGTGCTTGGACCTCTGTGTTGTGTGACTACTGTGTTCGTGGACTCTGTGCTTGACTCGCTTGTTGACGTCTCTTTCCGCCGCTTTCGGACCTCTGTGTTGGATCTCTGTGTTGTGGAGAGAGAAGGCACCTCCTGATCATAGCCGGTTAGGTCCACAACCCTTTTGACCCTGCCATATAGATAAACACTAGTTCCATTTGAGTAAACTAAACAGTGATTTGTCCAAACCAGCCAACCAACCTTCCTGCTCTCCAGACACTGATCTGTCCTGTAGTGCCACCCTCGTGATGAAAGCGGCTCAGTCGGCGCTCTCTCTGTACAGTGACGGTGATGGAAACCAGCAGCTCAGCAGTCGGAGTGTTTAAACCTAACGAGTCATTCAATTAGCGAGGCTTTAACGAGCGTGCCCGTCAGGCGTCGTTTGCGTCGTGTGATCCGTTCTTTGTGGGAGAAGCTTTTCATGGTTCCAGCTGTTTCATATGAATGTCTGCAGCTGTAATGAAACACACACACACTCAGGCTAATAGCTAATAATGAGTCATAATTGAGACAAATGAAACAAGGCTTTAATTGAGTTATTTCTGCTGCAGGTTTCATATGTGAGCATGAACACTGAGTTTACAGGTGTGTTTGAACACCTGAACTCACTGTACCTGTGTGTGTGTGTGTGTGTGTGTGTGTGTGTTACAGGCGATCATCTATGAAGGTCAGGATAAGAATCCAGAGATGTGCCGAGTTCTTCTGACACACGAGATCATGTGCAGGTAAGAACAGATACTGTACCTAAACTGAAGGGTTCCACCAGGTCCTAACAGAGCAGGTCTCACCAGGTCCGAACTGACTGGGGGAACTTGATGTAAAGTCCAGTTCAGACCAAAGATCCACAACGAGAACAGAACGGTTTTAGAGCATTTTGGGGAACTGGGCTTTACTCGAGCTGACAGAGTCGCTGCGACTCCAGCAGCTGGTTTAAGAACGTAAGGTACGTCACCTGTTTAGGGTGCGTCAACAACGTACGTCGTTGCTATGTAGACCATAAACAGTCTCATATAGTTGCATTGGTGGGATCTGGTTCTGGTTTCAGAATGATTCAGACTGGATTGAATGTTTAATCTGAACTGGGTGTTTACTTTATTTTACCTAAGCACACCTGGGCCTCTTGTGATGATGATGATGATACTACTGTATGTACCTGTATGTACCTGTACTGCAGTAACTGTACTGTGTACTGTAGTACCTGTAGTACCTGTAGTACATGTACTGTGTACTTGTATTTAACTGCAGTATTTGCTCCCTCAGTGAATGCTGAATGTGTCAGTTTGAGTTATTGTCTGTTGTCTCTCCGTCAGTCGCTGCTGTGATAAGAAGAGCTGTGGAAACAGAAACGAGACGCCGTCGGACCCCGTCATCATCGACAGGTAACACTCACACACACACACACACACACACACACACACACTCTGTATTATCATGATAATAGTGTAGTGTTGATCTGAATGTAATTCATACACACACATTATTTTAATAGCGACATATTTCTCCTGCAGTGTGTGTGTACTGATAGACTAACAGCTGATACAGGAAGTCTGTTCATATCTGAACAAACAGAGAAAACAATTCTACTGTCAGCTGTGTGTGTGTGTGTGTGTGTGAACTGGTTCAACCTGCAAAGGTCTGTGGGATTATGGGAAATGATGTTCCTTAAAGGCCGCTGAAAACAAATACTGAATAAAGCTGTTTTTCTTACTTCTGGAACCGAACCTTGACGTTCCGGTTTCACTCCGACTTCCTGTAGAGCAACTGCTGTAATTGGTTCAAAGAATATTTTTTGGACAATATTTTTTCCATCTAGTGACTTTTTCCACTGAAGCAACATTCCTACAGATTTATTTCTGTGCAAAAGATAAAAGATATAAATAATATTATTGAAATGATGAATGATGAACCAGTAACAAGGTGAGCTTCACTGTGTGTTATGGTCAGTAGTTTATCTGCTGTAGGCAGCAAGCACACAGCACAGACGTCACTATCCCAGCATGCATGTCAGATAATGCAACCGTCATTAGAATTAGATTTTAATATTTCTTCAGACAGTGATCCATTAGATTTTAAATATGTCGTTGATTTAAGATTTTACTCATCGGACGTCTGGATCAGTACCTGAAATGGGTCAGTACTCATCAGAACTCATCAGAACTGAGTACCAGCACTTTTATCCACATTTCCTTACTTCTTACTGCGTGACCTCTGGTGAGCATGGCCTTACTGACTGAGGTCACTGCTATTCTTTCTGAGGGGTGAACAAAACAAAATCCTCCTAGTAAGTTCAGTTTTTGGACCTCTGTGGTTCTGAAACCCTGCGTACAGCAGTGCTGCCGAGCTTCTCCTAACTGTCTGACTGTGTAAACATGTAGCTAGCTTAACGCTAAGAAAACACCACTGAAAAAGAATTAGGTCCTGCGCACCCCTTTTTTGGTCAACAGTTAAGGCCGTCTGGATCTTAAGTATCAGTAGAAACACAGCTGAGCGCTATCACGTGTATGCAGCAGAGCTAACGTTAGCAGTAGCTCGGCTCGCAGCCCCTCCGGGACGTCCTTTGTCTGCCCAACAGCGTGGGAGAAGCAGTGACTTTTAAGGTGGAACTGCTTTATTCTGTGTTTGTAGTGGGTTTTAATCACTGCCGTTTGCTTTTGTGAGAGGAGGAGACCCTCTGTGGATAACCTGGCCTCCCCCGGTAAGTAACCGCCCTGAACCATGAACGCTGAAGGAATCCCTGGTATCAAACTTCCTGTTATTAACAAATGAACAAAGAGACAGAAGGAGAGTTGATGAATCGTTCTTTCTGCTCGTGTTGGAGAATAAAAAGGTGACAGAAATACTGCTGAACTGGTCCGAGCTACTTTCCTTTCTCCTCCCCCTCCTCCTCCCTCCTCCTCCCTCTCCTCCCTGCTGCGTCTCTTACTCCCCCTCCTCCCTCCTCTCCCATGAGGAATCATACGCTCTCCTCTCCTCTTCTCACCTCCCCCCTCCTCCCTCCTTTCTTTACCCCTCCTCTTCTACTCTCGTCCTCCCCCTGAGTATTAATCTCATTCCTCCCTCCCCCCTTTTCCCTCTCTCTCTTCTCCGAGGCTGTGGAGGGAGGAGGGGGGAGTGAAAGCAGGGGAGGAGGGTAGATGGATGGATGGATGGAGGTATGGAGGGATGGATGTGACTGCTGCAGCCTTTTGAAAAGAGAAGTGGTGATATTACAGCGGCTCTTTTTTCTCCCCTTGCTTGCTGAAATGCATGATGGGAAGGTCTCCTGTGTTTTCGGCGGCGTCCAGTGAACAGGAAACATGTCAGGGTCAGACTCTGCTGCTGCGAGCACAAACACACTCAGACCTGCAGCCTTTTATTCAACAAGCACTCTGGTTTTATATTAAATTCACTTTACTTACAGTTCTACTCAAAGCTCACTTAATCCCTTCCTTTCATACATTCATTAAAGTGATTAAATTATACAGTTAAGGCACTTTAACATAAAGATTTTAGGATCCAGAACAGCAGAACTGAGAATATTGAAGATCTTTATACGTTAAAACCTTCATTCAGGAGGCAATATTGTAGAAAAATCAAGTTAAATATTGTCTGTTACCTTTTTATTTCTGAGAGCATGAATATGAACAGACATTTTGATTCATTCTCTGTCTGTATTCTGTATTTTTATAATTTTTAACTGACTTAATATTCAATAATTCAATAATCAGCGGTTTGGTTTCTGATGCAGGACGAGGTTGTTGATCAGAGACTGAAGCTCTGTCACTGCACTCTATGATCAATAATAATAATAATAATATGCACTGTGATCAATAATAAAATAATAATATACACTGTGATGTGTGTAATAATATTCAATATTAATATACATTTAAAAATGAACTATTTCATTTAGTTTTCTCAACAGAAATGAACACAATGCTGAGATAAAGTCCTGCTGCTACACCCCTCGTGAACCCCTGCATTAGTCCTAACCCTGAAAAAGATCTTCATCCACAAATCAAACGTATGTACACAGCACATTTTTTGCTATCACCATCACTTATTGGCAAAAGATAACAAGCTAGTTGCTCCAAGAATAGCTATGAGCAGGTCAGATGACAGCCAGTGGGGTCCAGGATTGTATTTCGGACAATGTGTTTTGCTTCTTCTGCTCTCCACACAGACTGTTTACCTGAAGGCAACCAAAGCCCGCTCAAATATGATTGGTCAATAATACTCGCAACACAAACACAAACCAGGATGGCTCTGATGCCAAAATCTTGTCCATTTCCGACAGATATCTGCCTGCTTAGAGATGAATTTGGAACTGAATAGATATTTTCAATAAATACATTTCCTTGTTACGTTGATTGTTGGTTAAAAAACTGTAATTCAGGAAACATTTCATCTCCGAAAACACATTTTCTGAAGCAGCTCAGTTGAATATGTTGAAACAGGATTGTATCATCTGCAAAAAGGTTGACTTTTTGGTTGCAGATGATGCTCTCTTCTCTTCCTCCTAGCACGCTGTGTGAATCACATCCTCTCTCGTGAGACTTGGAATCGGAGAGTCTACAGATTCACACAGTATCTCAACCATATTTCTGTGCTGTGTTATCGTGGAGATATTAATAGAAGAATTGTAAAAACTTCGCTTTCGGCTGCCAACATTGCTTCTCTTCTAATGAGAGGTTATGTAATGTCACACTGCTGGTCAGTGGTATCGGGTGTAGTATCGAGTACATTACCAGTACATGAGCACAGGATCGGACCTATTACATTATCTCTGTATCGTTTATTAAAAAGTTGAAATAGATGAGTCATTAAGAAAGAAATCAAGCAATCCTCAAATATTATTTTATGACCATTAACTTATTAAGATGAATTGACATATTAAGTTTAACTGTAAAACTTTTGTAAACCTGTAGAATCAGGTTCTCATCTAATAAATATCTCATCTAATAAATAAATAAATACCAATCAAATCTTGGATATTAAATTTTAAAATAGTTTTCTCTCTATATAAGTTGAAGTTACATTAATGATGACTTATAGTGTGCATTGTAACAAGTTATGGCTGGACCGTCTTTTTCTCTAAGTCAGAATGAGACTGAACTTTGCTACAAGATAAAACAGTTTAATCTCAGTCAGTTTTGAACAGACTCGTAGTTACTGCGGTTTGCCTTTGTACCACTGCCGGTATCGTTATGGATGCATCCATACTTTTTATCCAGCTCGGGTTCTTTTCAGTGTGTCTACTGTAAATTCTCCTTAATGTTCCTCACAGCCTCCTGGAGGGCCCCGCCCCGCAGGTTGAGCCTCACCGCCGTGCTGTTTGAGGTTCTTTGTTCTGTGTAAAGACAGAAGCCTTTGAGGGTCAATCATGATGGGACGATCTCCCCTCTGAACACTGTGAGAACGTTTTAACACGATGATCTTCTGTCTTTAAACTCCTCTCAGCTCAGCTCTGATTTGTAGCCGCTGATGATGATGATGATGATGATGATGATGGTGGCGGTGAACCAGCTCTCATCTTTTCACGCTCTCGCTCTGAATACCAGATGTGAGAATTTTTTGGGGGGGCACAATCTCCTGTCTGCGAGTGTCTCTGGTGTCTGCAGCGTGGGATTATGGGAGGACGACGTGCTGTCAATCATTTAGAGGGCGTAGGTGTGATTTCCCTCTCATGCTGCAGGTCGGTTTTGGATGGAATCTCATTACTGGCCGTGTTTCAGGGTGACTGACAGCAGAATAATGTTTTGGGCCCCCAGAGGGCCCCCGGCCGGCTAAATGTTAAATGTATGAATGCATGGGAGTCAATGGAGAGATGAAGTGTAGCTGAATATTTTTTTTTCTTCCTGGGAAACAGTCACAGAATGAGGAGTATGACCCTGAACACACCATCTGCTGCTGTTTCACCGCTCAGACAACGAACAGAGGAACTCAAACACAACATCTGATAGATTTCATTTAAATACAGACAAGGTTTTACATTTAAAGGTCCATTGTGCAGGATTTAGTGGCTGATTGCAACTCCCTCACCTCACCCTCTCCTTCTCTTCCCTGTGGCTTTTACAAAATATTAAATGGAAGTGAATAATGTATCATCGTTGGCCTAAAGTGAATCACAACACACCGAATAAAACAAATGTTTGTTCATTTCATCAACTGAAACGTTATGTCCTGACCTGGAGAACTTTCCTCTATATTTTGCTGAATCTCAATGGCAGTCGTTACGAGTCTTGAGCCTTGCTAATTATGGACTTATGGAAAACAGAACATTTAATAGATCCTGGACAGATTTGTTCACATTCAGTGCTGCTGGAGAAATTGGCATTATTATGCTGCGTAAAATTATTTGTGTGAGAAGATTAAATCACATCAGGTGACATGAATTGGT